TCTTACACTGAACTGTCAGTCAGACATATATTGAGGATGAAGACAGGGTGTCCCAGACAATACATCAACATACACATATAGTCCAGAGGAAGATATCTGTAATGACAACTGTGTAAAAAAATGATGGCTTTACCTCCCTCTGGTGCCTGATATTGGGGCACCATCCAGGAGAGGACATAAACCAGGGAAACCTCCCTCATACATTGATAGAGGACATCCTTTTACGGGACACATCCATGGAAGATGCTTTGATTAAGTTTAGTGATCCTGAAATCATCCAAATGTAATAGAGTAGAAACATGAGTGATATTTTTAGGCAGAGTTGAGTAACAATGAGGCAGTCCCCTTTAAGTGCATAGACCCATCAGCAAAGAAATCTCTTCCAAAGTTAGCAAAATTGGAACATCAAAAGCATCAAAGTGGTATTTTAGGTAGAGTTAGGTAACTATAGAGGCAGTCCCCTTGAATACATCTTGACATATTGGCAAAGAAGTTCCTTCCAAAGTTGGTAAAGTTAAAGCACCAAAAGAGCATGAGACTACGGGGGGAGACTTTGATAAAGTGGTACTCCAACATGATACAAGGTGGATATGGGAGCTTGAAGCTACCAAACCGCCAGGCTTGAACGAAAACCTTAGCTTTGCCCCCTTAACAGCTTAGAGTTCCCCTCTTTATCCAACCCCCCTTTTATTTTCTCCTATTTTGAAGTTGTTTCTGAAGTTGTGGGTTTTGTTTCTTTTTGTAGACTTAAAGGTTTGTATGTAATATAGGGATTTGCGGTCTTGGGCACATTATTTTGACAAGATATATTAGTGATTTGTTTTTAAACGATGGTTGTTGGCATGCCATGTGCTGGATGCCCTCTTGATTGGTTGCTCTTTTTCCCCTTTTTTGGTCCCTTTCTTTTTAAGGGAAAAGAAGGGCGGGGGGGGGGGGGTAGGTAGATTAATCCCTATGAAATAGGTTCCTTCTAATATAATTTATATTTCCATGCACCTTCATATTGATATTGTATTTTTTATAATGTCCACTAGATGGACCGCCCATGTCGCGCATCAACGTGCGTTTCAGACGCCATCTAAAGGGAGGTTGCATATGCAGGCTAGCTTCTTCCTCCTGTCACCACCCACGCTACTCCTGGGCGCAGACACGGATGTCAGATACTGGAACACAGCCGTTCCTCATACTCTCCTGGATACTTATCGTAGAAATTCTTGTTTTACTTCTACTACATGTGAGTGTTCCTACATTTGAGAATTATTAAAGTGGTTCTGCTGCACTTAGAGGAGCTTCTTTTTCTTTCTCATTACACAGAGTCCTGCTACAGCACTTTACGAAGCTTGCCCAAAGTGACCTATGGACCTTCTTATTTTAATCTACTTGTATTACATTTATTTCTTTTTGGACTTTATGGACTTATTTGGTTACTTGGTGTTAGTGTTTGCGCTGATTATTATGTTTTCTTTTTTTTCTTGACCAGAGGGAGGTGAAACCATCATTTGTACATAGTTGTCATTACAAATATCCTCCTCTGGACTACATGTGTATGTTGATGCATTGTCTGGAATGCCCTATCTTTATCTCCAATATGATATGTCTGACTGACAGTTAAGTGTAAAAGGGAGGCTCACACAGTTTGCAGTATCTCCCCTGGATTACGTAACCTTACTCATCTACAAGATTCTGACAATTATATCCTCTACCCATGGTGATTTTGATTGGCAGACATATACATATGATATGGAGCATGTTTTCTTTAAAGAGGACTGTGAATGATCAAGTTCTGTAAATTTACACAAGGAGCATATGCATCCTTTATCGAGAGAGATGCTAATGTTACCAACTGACTTGTCTATTGTTTTGATGGGTACTCTCCCTTTGGGGGATGTTACTCGGGACCTGTGGAGTGTGGTATGATTTTTTCCTGTTTTTGGAAATGTTTAATAAAGAAACCAGTGTGTGCCATTGACCACCAGCCAATCAATTATCGTTTTTAAATATCAATACATATAAATAAACCCAATATTCTGTTTGAGTCCATAACTAGTTTTGTTTTTATGCAGTTTCTCATTAAGTTGATAACTAGGGACTCCTGGTCTACTTACTATTAATATCGAGGATCTTGAGGCCTTTGGAGGTTTTGCCACACATACAGCTCAGTATACCGTCCACACGTCAGTATATAGAGTGCAGCACACATACAGTTCAGTACACTGTCCAAACATGTCAGTAAGTGCCTGAGAACTTGTGAAGTGAAATTTTGAAAATAAAAAAAAAAAAATTTTCTTCTACTTTCTCTTATAAAACATACCCAAAAAACATAAAAAAATAAAAACAAATTGGTTTGTGTGAAAGTTATAGCATCTACAAACAATGGTATATATACTGGAATTGTTATATTTTTTTACTTTTTTTAATACTGGTAATGGCGGTGATCAGGGACTTGTAGTGAGACTACCCAGAAATGCCGAATCACGTAAATGTACAAGATCTGGCGCAGTGGAGCCACCCTGCCGAAGTAAAACTGTGGTGGGCGGTCTACAAGTGGCTAACTAAATTATACACCAAACTGTTTTGAGGTTCTTATCCAAAATAATCAAAACATAAAAAAAATCAGCCAACTAATCGATTATAAAAATAATCATTAGTTACATCCCTAAAAAAACGAGTACAACTTATGCTGTCAAACTTATGCTTGTTTCATCTCTGTATCACCTGAGGCCAGTCAATTCACTAGGTGTATATTCAGTTAGGTATTTTGACACAGGCACAATTTTCATACTTTTGGCTCTGTATGCCACCAGAATAAATTAAAATACAACAATCAAAATTACTTTGAAGTGCAGCCTTTCAGCTTTAATTCAAGGACAAATTTTAGGAACTGCAACCATTTTTATACACAGTCCCTCTATATTTTTTAGGGGCTCAAATGTAACTGGACAAATATAATCAAATAAAATGTTCATTTTTAATATTTTGTTGAGAATCCTTTACGGACAATGACTGCCTGAACTCTGGAACCCATGGACATTACCAAAGACTGGGTTTCCTCCTTTCTGATGCTTTTCAGGCTCTACCTGCAGCTGTCTTCAGTTGTTCTTTGTGGGTCTTTCTGCCTTTCATTTTGCCTTCAGCAAGTGAAATGCATGCTCAATTGGATTAAGATTAGGTGACTGACTCAGCCAGTGCAGAATATTCCACTTTTCCTTCAAAAGCTCCTGCGTTGCTTTTGCAGTGTCTTTTGGATCATTGTCCATCTGTACCGTGAAGCACAATCCAATCAACTTTGCTGCATTTGGCTGAATCTGGGCTGACAGTATCTCTCTAAACACTGCAGAATTCATATGGCTGCTTCTGTTTTCAACTATAAACACCAATGACCTAGGTGCCACTGGAAGCCATGCATGCCCATGCCATCACACTGAATCCACCATATTTTACAGGATGTTGTGTGCTTTAGATCATGAGCTGTTCCAAGCCTTTTTCACGTTTTTTTTTTCCAGCCATTCTGGTACAGATTAAAGTGGAGCTCCACCCAAAAGGGGAATTTGCGCTTTAAAAGACTGGTCCCCGGCTCCTCATTAAGGATTGGCACCTTTGGGGAGTGGGTACCCGAAATTGACAGGCACCCGCTCCCACTGCTGCTGTGATCATCTAGGCGATCGGAAGCGGAAGTTGTCCTCCTACCCTCCCTTCTTGTAGTCTTCTGGGACACGTGACAGATCCCAGAAGATTACGGGGCCATTCAGGAAATGCAGTGCTACTCATGCATGCGCAGTGGGCACCTGGCTGTGAAGCCGCAAGCTGTCACAGCTGGGTACCCACACTAAAGATGTCGGTGCCTGGAACACCAGACGGCTATTGAAACCGGCTACGGGAAGGACACCATGGGATCGTGGGACAGGTGAGTGACTTTTTTTTTTTAAAAGTCATCAGCTACAGTTTTTGTAGCTGCTGACTTTTATTATTTTACAGTGTGGAACTCTTCTTCAGTCTTAGTTTTATCCGTCCACAGAATGCTTTGCAAGAACTGGTCGGGCTTTTTTAGATGTTTTTTGGCAGTCTAATCTGGCTTATGAATAATTTGCACCTTGTGGTGAACCCTCTGTATTTGCTCTCGTAAAGTCTTCTCTTGATTGTAGACTTTGACAATGATACGCCCACCTAATGCAGAGTGTCCTCACTTGTGTAGATGTTGTGAATGGGTTTTTCTTTACAATAGAGAGGTTCCTGCGATCATCCCCCACTGTTGTCTTGCGTGGACACCCACTCCTGGCCATAAAACAGCTTTTGATTCATTTGTTCAATTACTTTTGGTCCCTTGAAAAAGGGGGGATGGCTACTCTTAAGAGCTGTAATTCCTAAACCCTTCCTCCAATTTGGATGTACACACCATCAAATTAAACCTGAGAGTGTGCACTTGCAGCCCATATCCATTATAGAACTATAGCTTGAATAGATTTTGGTAAATACCTAAAAAAACAAATTGTGCCTGTGTCCAAATATATATAGACCTAACTGTAGAAGGGTTTACAACCACTTTATGGAAATTTATAATAAGGCATCATCATGCCAATTAGGCAATTCAATTTCTCAGAAAGGGAGGTCAGCAATGAAAGTGAATGGTCAAAGGTAAAAGGAAAAAAAAAGTCTACTTCTGTTCCATGAGAACAAAAGCTGACCAATCACTATGGGCAATTGTTCCATTCTTAGTCCCATTTTTCTTTACAAGTTATAGACGTGTTCTTCAGTAGCAGCTGAAGAGATCACACTCCATTCTTATTGTATTCTTTCATACACAATGCTGCTTGATAGCCTATGTGGGGAACAGGCAGAGGATGGGAGGGGCACAGTCAAGTGACCTAGTGAGTGCTAGTTTGGACTTGCAGAATTTACATAAATATTGGTTATTTCATAGAGCATTGGGAATGTACATGAGGTGCAATCTGGAATCAGGACTTACATTTTTCTATAGTAAATTGAGTTTACTAAATAGTTACCCGAGTGAAAAGGAAACTGTTGTTTTGCCTCCCCTGTGTGTGCATCCCAGATTATGGTCGTCTGTGAAGAGAACACACATGCATTAGTAAAAAGAATTTTCCAAAGAAACTGTAGATGTAGAGATTTAAAGTGTTATTAAACACACCACAGTAAAATCAGTCTGTATATGAAGTAAAGCATGTTTGTTATACTCACTGTGGAACCTAAGGGATTAATCCTCTGCATTGTGTAAAAATGCCATTTGATCCTGACTTCTCTGATCCTCCCTTTCTTCCAGTGCTCCCCTCTTATCTCCTAATTAGATATATCGTGTGGAGACACTGCACATGCTCAATTTGGTGTGTATTGCAAGAGGTTTTTTTTTTTTCTTGGGGAATGTATATTATATAGGGTGCGCTTGTTGGAGCCCAACCTCTGTAGCTGTAAGATAAAGGTGCCAGATGGATATCAGGGATGGATGGATGGATGGGAGCAGTAACACTGAGGCAGCCCTTCTTAGAGTGGAAGCAAGGCTCTAATGCAGTAGCAAGAAAAAGTGCCTCTAAGTGCAGTATTGACAATTTATTTAGTAAACTAATGGATAAATTGCACTTACAAGATAAACTGTTAAAAAGACTCATCGTGTAGTAATTATATCCAGGTGGGACATCCAGCCGTCCAGCAGCAAACTATGTCTATAGGATCAGGAAGTAGAGTCCAGGATGTGCCTGTGCATGAAAAATGAATCTTGGAGAGCAGAGTCATATGTAGCAGGTGAAGGGGGGGCGGTAATGCATTTCGGAGTATGCTCAATACATTCCTTCAGACCCTTCAGAGGTCTGAAGAAGGAGCCTATTGAGCATGCTCCGAAATGCATTACCACTTCCCTTCACCTGCTACATCTGACTCTGCTCTCCAAGATTCATTTTTGATGCACAGGCACATCCTGGACTCTACTTCCTGATCCTATAGACATAGTTTGCTGCTGACCGGCTGGATGTCCCACCTGGATCTAATCACTACAAGATGAATCTTTTTAACCGTTTATCTTGTAAGTGCAATTTATCCATTGTTTAGTAAATAAATTGTCAATACTGCACTTAGAGACACCTTCCTCTCTTTCTTGTTACAGGAAAAATCAGCACTGCCCAGACAGGTCAGGGGTTCTACATCCTCCCAGAGAAAACTCCTCCTGCAAGCTTTAACCAGTGCTTTGCTGAATACTGATAAAATTCACAAGACTGCTCTAACTGCTGATGAGAAAAGCTATTTAGCAGTAGTCACAAGACTGCTTTAACTGCTGATGAGATAAGCTATTTAGCAGTTTATATTTACTTAATAATTGCACTTCCAAGTTCCGTGTATTGCTGGAGACCAGATATAGTGAACGCGGGGTCCTGGGGTTTAGTAACACTTTAACTATTAGGCTTCATTCACACAGGACATATTTTACTGTACTCCAATGCAGGGCCATGCTTACCCGCATGGGATGTACAGGTGTTCTGTGAATCCCCAAGCAACCACTGTGTCCCAATAAAACATCTGTGTGGATGCGAGTCCCTGAACAGAGACAGGAAGGGTTTGGGAACACGCACCTGCATGGATGTCATAAAACAGCAGCCACGTTTGTGCACCTTATGTGTCCCAATCATCAATGGGACTGCCTGCATGGGGGTGCATGAACAACTGTGCAGGCAAACATGGCCCTGCATGGACTGAACAAGGGTTAAAAAAAAAAAAAAAAAAAAAACACAAAAAAGGCATCTTTATAGGCTACATGAGGACTGCTGAGGGGGTATATTTGGGGTCTGGGGTTAACAAACATTTACTCATCTTTAAATTCCATGCCTTGGAGGACGGTACAAGACAAAGGACTTGTATTAACATAGCCATGGGTTATATGCACTCCTTGTAAAAAAAATTATTGAGAGAGAGAATAAAGCCAAGGTTTTGTTTTTATTAGTACGGCTACAAATTCACCAATTTTGGTGAACCTGGAGTTAGCCAAAAGATCTTTCAGATGCTTTGTGAAGGGGGGAGAGGGTCCCGAGTCTAGGTGTTGGCAACTCGGAAACTGCCAATTTTCCACTCCTGGTATGTAGATATCTGAATGCTGGAATGTTATTCTCCATCCAGGAAGGAATCTGTTTCCTTCAGAGCTGCCTGACTTCTGGTAAACCCTTGGTGGTTTCTGTAGGCCACAGCCGAGGCATTGTGTGACTGCACCCTGACTGGGTAGCTGTGTAGGAGAGGGGTCCAGAGTTAGAAGAGACAGTCTTTATGGGATTGGTTTGGGGGGGGGGGGGGTTTATGCAGATTCTAAGGCTGAAAGATCCAACGTCCTATGGAGATTTTAGCCTGCCTGAACAGCAGCAGTAAGCAAACCAGAGAAGCGATCAATTTGTCCAACATATTGATAATGCTGAGTTGCAAGGTCTTGAGTGGAACTGCCTAGAAGGAGGCTACTATGAAGTTACCATTTTAGAAGTGAGTCAGGGATGTCTGACTGATCTGAAAGTTCAAAAATGAAACCTCAGGGAAGATATCTTTTCCAGTCCCAGATACTCTAGTCCACAGGTTTGACACCGGCAGCCCTCCAGCTGTTTCAAAACTACAAGTCCCATGAGGCACTGCAAGGTTGACAGTTACAACCATGACTCCCAAAGGTAGAGGCATGATGGGACTTGCTGTTTAGCAACAGCTGCAGGGCTGCCAGTTTGACAACCCTGCTCTAGTCGATCAGAAGGACTAGAGAGAAGACTTTTTACAAATGATCAGCCATCCAAAAGATTGAAGGAGCTACACTAGTACATTGGAGAATAGAACAGTGGCTGAAGAATTTTTCAGCAGAATGCAATCAAGGTATCACGTGAAACAGAATAGGAGCCAGCACTTTTGTGAAGTATCTTGGTGCAGAAGAAAGCCCAAAAGTCAGGGCAACAAATTGAAAGCATTGGCCTCTCACAGAAAAGAGTAGAGTGCATTGATGTGTGGGAAAAAATGGGAATAACATAGGCATCTTGGATGTTCATTCATGCCAGAAATTCCCCTGGCCTGAGAGAAGTGATGACAGATTTTGCTGGCCCCAAGTGGAATTTTGGAACAGGCAGGTATTGGTTTAAGGATTTTAATTAAAAAAAAAACGGGGGCTCTGTTCAATTTTGGAACTGTGAATAGGTTTGAGTTTAAACCTATGTTTGAGGTGAAGCTGGCAGATTGTAGGTAAGGAATCGAGGAAAGGGCAGGGGTAGAAACTGTATTCTGTAGTCAGTGGAAATGGCAGATTGCATCTAGTGGTCCAGGACAGATGTCCCACATTTCAAAAGGGTGAGGGCACCCCATCATTGTGAAAAGGGCTTTTTGTAGGCTTGGAGAATTTTGGAATCCAAGGCCGGCAATAAAAGGATGGCCCCGCTTATGATCTAAAGAAAAATGCCTGACTGGAGCAAAACAACCTCTTTCGATGTAAAGAGGTAGAAGTACCAGCAGGTGTGGACTCTTTTCTGTGGGGTAGAAGCATTTTCCCCTATTAACTTAATGATAAATTTTGTGTCTTTTGCAAACAGACTCAGCCAACCAAGCCTTTAACCACAACATTCTGCTTATTTTCAGAGAGCAGTGACATCTAAGAGGAAAATAGAAGCTCCAAAGGCAAGAGTTGTAACTGTTCCAGGAGCACAGGGGTCGTGTTCTGTATTCATTTTTCCAGTTAGCAACAGTCTTGCAAATGGACATAGCCAAAATTGGCCAATGGTAAGGCAGAACCAGAGAGCAAAGATTGCCTTCAATAAGGTTTCAAAACACCTATTAATAGAATCCTTAAAGCTGGGAACGTCCACAACAGAGATAGTAAAGTATTTGTTTAGAACAGAAATAGGATCCACTACCAGGACAGACCATGAAAGGGAGCAACATTAGAGGAAGGGAGCAGTGTCATTGCAGGACCTTGCCCCAGACCAGGGGAACAGTTATCACCCTGATTGTTTCCCTGGTTTGCCTTGGTGCTCTCTGTAGCAGGAAAGCTATTGGGCCCTTTTTTCAACACCTAGACTCCACTACTGCTAAGTGAATTACCTGGGGTGTGATCATGAATGAATGCAGAATGAGAGGATATGGGCGTGTACAGGAAGGGAGCCGTGACAACCAAGGTGCTGACCAAGGACTTGAAGATGTGTTTTTGGAATAAAGGCAGTCTATTGGTAGAAATGGCAAGCATTGACCAGACAGGGTACTGCAACTAGGCCACCACGCATGCATTAAGCGCTGTGTAGGAAAATCGTCAGATTTAAAAAAATAAAAAGTTATTTACTAACATTACCTACCTCCAATGTGGAAGAGACATTTATTGAAAGCGATAACACAATAGAGTGACTAAAACCCTATGGTTATAATACAGTGGGGCACTGTTTTTCCTTATCCACACTGCAGATTTCCTTGGAAAAGCCCAAACGTCAACCATAATTGTGGGCATACCACTAAAAAAAAAAAAAAAAAAAAAAAAAAAAAAAAAAAAAAAAAAAAAAAAAAAAAAAAAAAAGGGCCCTGCACCTGTAAATTGCCCCCCAGTTATTCACATGTATCAAGGAGAGAGCCAAATGCAGGATCCAATGTCCAGAACAAACATAGGCCAGCACACAGCTGTTACAAGATGTACATTGAGGGTAACCCCTCCAGAAACAGCTATCGAGCCTTGAGGCAATCAGCAACTGGAATTTGATACAAGTATTAGTGAAAGCAGGGAATAGACAAAGAGAAGGAATGGTTGACAAAACTTCTTCATGGGTGAAGATGCCCATGACCTAAGGACACTAGCAAAAAACTGGAGGCCCTCAGAGAGGGTTGGGCAATATAAGGTGCACTGGAGAGTTTCCCAGCAAAGTTTTTCCAGTGTCCATTCACCTGAAGGTAGCAACATAAAAACTATAATTTATGAATACAAGGCCTGCATGACTGAGATTAAAGTTTTAGTCTTCCAATATAGAAGGGCAACTTTTTGTGCCTGCCTTAGAGTGAGCATAGTGGCTCTCAAAGCTTACAGTGTTGACTTTGGAAAGCTTCTGAAACCTGTGCTAGTATTTAGAAAGGCAGGGAAGTGAAGGACTCGGCAATCTCAACAGAATGATAGTAAAACCATGGTTAAAAAATGGGAAGATGAGAAGTAATGAACTTCCCCATATTACCTTGTCTACGCCTGCACTTAAAATAAAATTTCCTTTCTTGTTCCATTTCAAGGCAAATATAGGTCCTTTGTGTTGCCCCAAGGTGCTTGCAAGGTTTCCTGCAGATTAGAGTGAGTGCTTGTAATAATTAAATGATTAATCAAATGCAGCAAGTATACAGTTTACATATTTGCTTTGTCTATTCCTCAGAAATAAATATACATATAATACTTAAAAACACAGTAAAGAAAACAATATTAAGGTAACAAGAAGGTTGCCTCCCTTTAAGAAAAATTGCCAACACTTTCAGATTCTGTACAACCTGCTAGCCCTGCATGCAGCAGAGTTAGCCACTAATAAAATCCAATACAAGCAACAAGCTCTCATTAGCTTAAAGCTTGTTTACTGCTGCCAATAAAACACCTCCTGGTGGGGAAGAAGTACCAATTTCACTGGAAGACTCACTCTTCAGTGCACACTCTGAGCTTTAGTTCTACCAAAAGAGGCAGAATTGCTACAACTACAGCAATTTACAGGAACAATTATCCAGATTAGAAGATATAGTGCACGATATATTAAGAATGCAGCCTGCAGAACTATACAGTAAAAAATGTAAGGCACAATGAATAATGGGGAAAAGAGTTGCAACAGATTTTGCTTTGACTTGCAGCTTAAAAATAAACTCCAGGTATGGATATTCTACACAGTTACATTAGTCCAGCTTGGACCAATGTAACTATGCACATACCATTCCTGGCCAATGTCCCTGAAAGCTGGAAATCGATGGAGACACAGCTACTCAAGTGATATCCATTTGCTCCTAGGTCCCACTCCCGAGTGGCTGTCCTACATTCTCAACAAAGGAGGTTGGATATTTGACATGGGCTCCAAAGAGTTAAACATTTGACACAATCAAACCTAAACATGAGGTTTGCACCAATTATTTTTTACAGGTTAAACTACGGTAGTTCAGTACTTTGGATGTAAGTAGTACATACAAAGAGCTAATGGACAAGTTGATGGGTGCAGTAACATCCATCAGCTTGTGCTCCATTTCTTCAGCTGGCTCCTGGATGTAAAGTGAAAATGATCCAGCCGCTGTAAAGCCAGCGTTAAACTTCACAGTGTCAGTGGTGTGGTTCCCGGGATCTCCCAATCTTATCCAGGAGCCTGGGATTACATCAATGGGATTCAACAAGATGTCCGTTCTTTGATCTCCTCTGCCCCAATAAACCAGAAGTAATGATGATTTAGTCACTTTCAATTTCAGAGTCGTCGCTCTTTGGATGATATAGCTGGGGAAGCATCTAACCAAGAAGACCTCTTAAAATGGCACACGTTGACTTGGCATGTTTGGTATCTGTTTACTCGAGGCAGCTCCATCTTTTATAGTTTACCAAAAAATTGGTTATTGTATGATGTTTGACACCACTAAAGTTCAATATAAAATTGCAACTACTCTCTTTATTCTTCAAGGCATCTGCTTTCAGAAAATATATAATGCCCTGGGGTTTTAAGTAATTTTATGGTCAAAAATACAAAAAATTGCTCTAGTGTGGAGGTAGTTAAAAAACACAACTACAAAAAAAGTGCTTACCATCTTTTGTCCATATTCTGGCAAAGCCATCATAGGATCCAGTTGCTAGAAGTGTTCCTTCACTCTGTTAATATAAACCATGAAAATAACACTAGGATTAACCATAACCTCTAATTTTACTATGACCGTTGACCTGATCTAAATGCATAGCTGTGTGTGTGTGTGAGTGTGTGTGTGTTTTTTTTTTACCTTACTGCACATACTAACACTCATTGACCACTTTAGGAGTCCTTTGTAAGACTTGCTGAGTTATTCTGATATATTTACTCGAGAGCTTTCTGCTGCATCGGAACAGTGTATGGTCAAACGTTATCACTTTATAGAAAAGATTAGCAGAGCTTACAAAACTCCTAAAGCAACTGAAAATAGTGTTAATAGGAGTATTAAAGTTTAAATAAAAACAAGAAAAGCTGTGAAATGACGGGTTTATTCATTCACTCTTGTGAAAAAGATTAGCTTAAAGCTGTAAACCCAACCACTCTAAGTGAAAAAAGGTAATGATTATAATATTAATATAAAAAAAAACAAAAAAAAGAAATACAGCGAGTGAAAAAAAGTATTGGAACACGTCACCATTTTTCTCAGTAAAATATATTTCTAAAGGTGCTACTCGCATGAAATTTTCACCATGTCAGTAACAACCCATGCAATCTATACATACAAAGAAACCAAAACAAATAAAGTTCAGAAATTAAGTTATGTGTAATAAAAAATGGAATGACACAGGGAAAGTATTGAACACATGAAGAAAGCGAGGTGCAAAAAGGCACGGAAAGCCAGGACACCAGCTGAAATCTATCAGTAATTAGAAAGCAATCCTGCCCCTTTGTCAGTGCAAATTAATATCAGCTGGTTCAATCTCAAGTGAAGGCCTATAAAAAGGTGTCTCATTGCCGAGGTGTCACACAAAAAGCAAAGAGCTCTCTCAAGTCATTTTTGCAAAACATACTGATGACACTGGTTACAAAATGATTTCTGAACTTCTTTATGTTCCAGTGAGCACTGTTGGGGCCATAATCTGGAAGTGGAAAGAACATAATTTCATCATAAACCGGCCACGACCCGGAGCTCCGTTTTCTGACAGAGGAGTAAAAAGAATTATCAGAAGAGTTGTTCAAGAGCCAAGGAACACTTGTGGAGAGCTTCAGAAAGACCTGGAATTAGCAGGTACAATTTTTTCAAAGAAAACAAGAAGTGATGCACTCAACCGCCATGGCCTGTGTGTACGCTTATCACGCAAGACTCCACTGTTGAAGAAGAAGCAAGCTGAAGCTCGTTTAAAGTTTGCTGCACAACATTTAGACTAGTCTGTGAAATACTGAGAGAATAAATTCTGGTCAGATGAGACAAAAATGTTACTCTTTGGATGCCATAATACAAACCACGTTTGGAGGTCAAATGGCACTGCACATCACCCCAAAAACACCATACCAACAGTGAAGTTTTGAGGTGGGAACATCATTGGTGGGGCTGTTTTTTAGCATACGGTATTGGTAAACTTCATATCACTGAAGGATGAATGTAAAAATGTACCAAAACATGCTTGATAAAAATCTGCTGCCATCTACCAGGATGATGAAGATGAAATGAAGGTGGACATGTCAGCAAGACAATGAACCAAACCCAAAGCCAAGGGATCTCTCAATTGGTTCAAAGAAAGAAAGCAAAGCTGCTAGAATGGCCCAGTCAACAACCTGACTTGAATTCAATAGAAAATCTATGGAAAGAACTAAAAGATCTAAGTTCACAGAAGAGGCCCACAGAACATTCAAGAATTGAAGACTGTGTGGAAGAATGGGACAAAATCACACCAGAGCAATGCATGAGACTAGTTTCTCCATACAGAAGGCGTCTTGAAGCTGTCATTACTAACAAAGGATTTTGTATGAAGTATTAAATAAATTTCAGTTAGTGCGTTTGGTACTTTTTCCCTGTGTCCTTCCATTTTATTACACATAATTATTTTCTGAACTTGTTTGTTTTGGTTTCTTCGTATGTATGGATTGCACAGGTTTTTACTGACATGTGGTTAAAATTTAATGCCATTAGCACCTTTATAAATACAATTAGAGCGGATTCCCACACGTGCAGTGTGAACTGAAGCTCAGGTATCTCAGCTAATTGATATAGTAGTTGTTCAGCGGTTCATGTCAGGTTTACGTCAGGTTCAGGGCAGGATTAGCTCAGGATCTTATCCTGTTCACACATAAGCGGTTTAGAAACCGTTCCCATAGAAGTCAATAGCCTGTAATCCGCACCTGAACCTGAAGGCACTGCTCAGAAATCACACATGACTCTTTTTCAAACTTCACTGAATCCGCACCGCCAGTGCATTGGACATATGTGAACAGGCACCATAGGAAGCAATGTTTTTTCACATCATGCGGACTGGATGTGGTTCAAACCACATCCAATCCGCACATATGTGAACCAGCACTTACTGAAAAAAATGGTGAGGCGTTCGATACTCATTTCATCCGCTGTATGATGCAATCTGTCACCAACGGTCTTTGCTTTTCTGAGTCTGCCCCATAACTTATTTTTTACCTGTTGATCTTGCGGTTATCTTCCTTGACTAAACTGTACAGCAAAAATGGAACTTAGAGGATTTAGACAAACCATTCAACAATCACAGGGGTGTTTACTATGGTTCACTTTCAGTCATTTAGTTAAAACCTTTATCCCAAAAGGCTTTAATTTGTCACTTATGTAAACTCCATCTAAATCTACTAGTTCATCTTATACTTCCCTGTCAAGACTAAAATATCAAACCACGAGAGCAAAGACACCAAAATTCATATAAAAGGTTTTTGACTTACATTATTATTATTATTATACAGTATTTATAAAGCGCCAATAGTTCGCTCAGCGCTGTACTTATAAAGGGGGACAGAACATGTGACAGAACAATACCAATACAATGCAAAACATGAGGTTATCGAGGGCCCTGCTCTTTCAAGCTTACTTACATTCCAATCTAAGGAGGTTACATCCTTGTTACTAGGAACATCTTGTCCACCCTCTCGTATACAGTGTCTAAGGACCAGCTGTGTTTGAACCACTAGTGCTGTTTTCACTAAGATTCCATATCCGTGCTGTCGAATCACCTGACCTGGAGATGAACAATTCAGAATAGAGAACTTGGTTAAAATAATGTCTCTTCATATGGAATGAAAGCACACGTGGCAATAGATAGAAACATTTTGCTTCATTCTGAAATGCATCTAAAGTAAAAAATACGCCCTTGTTTCAACAAGGGTATAGTGTGTGCACGATGTAGGGACGATTACAAGCTTAACTGAAATTAATGTCTATGTTCAAATGTAAAAAAAAAAAAAAAAAAACAACTTACCTTAGACTGTATAGGCCCCTTGAGGGTTAGGGACTGATGTGAATGTACTAACTCTATATATATATATATATATATATATAATATATATATATATATATATATATATATATATATATATATATATATATATATATATATATATGTAAAGTGCTTACATTGATGGTGCTATATAAGTACCAGAAATAAATGCAAATAAATAAACTTACCCTGATGCCAATAGATCACTAACTGGGTTCCAGGCACAAATAAACACTTCTGATTCATGACCACGTAATACTACTGCTTTGCTAGATGGGATTTCTACATCTCCATCAACTTCCATCATATCAGTGTGGTTATCTATAAAAAAAAAAAAATAAACTTAAACGTAAATTCACATACACGTTACAGACAGCAGCCCAATTTCTAAAACGGTCTAAAACTCGAGGTGCAACAAAGTGAAGCTACATAACAAAAACTCAACTGCTAAATTAAATTTAAAAAGACATTCCAAATTTGATGCATTTTGTACAATAAATTAATTTCCACAGCATACCGGAAATAAACTTACTTCTTACCTTTTAGATGTTTCCTAGGAGAAAGTGTCATGAGAGATTGCAGGCATTCCCAAAATGTTTCAGAGCGAGTCTGTCCTAATAGGTGAGGACTAGCTGAGTTTTCTCTCTTAATAATATACAACACAGAAGCCATACTTTCAAATAGTTAATTATGGCACACAGAGCTCCCCTGCTTCCTCAAACAAAAAGAGCTAAGTATTTTTCAGTGTTTGAGCTTATCAGAAAGAGCATCTAAATAGTAAAATGTAATTTTAAAATGCTTTTTTTTTTTTTTAAAGTTACATTTTATTAAAAAAAGACCACGTAACAAGCACTCTAAGACGTAGTTCACATCTGTGCAGTCGTGCAGGCTGCGATTCACGTGGCCATGAAAGCCCATTCATTGGGATGTACTCCCATGCCCCAGGACACGCAGGGAAAAAGTTCCTGCACTACTTTGGAAATTGCATCCCGTATGGGAACCGAGGTTCCCAGTACAGTTGCGATTTCTAATGCAGGCGGCATGCCATTAGAATCAATGGCACCCGCCTGTGGGTCCCGCATTCCTTTGTGCGGATGGGTGCGGCTGCAGGTATTTGTGCGAGTCGCGCAGCAGCACCACTCGCACATATGTGAAACCAGGGGTACAGGATTATCGGCTGCAAAAGTGGAAATAAACTTTAAAGCTGAACTCCAGAAATTCAGCTACTTTGTAAAATGTTTGGGTATATGGTATACTATGGGTTGAGTCCAACGATGTGCATACCACCTTGTGTTATCTATTCAATTTACATCTGACAATTGTATAGAGCTCTGACAGCACAGCTATCACTACACACCTGGAGAGATTCGGTGTTCTCACACACATCAGCTCTGCCTACCCCTCACCTCTGCTGTTCATTCACAGAAACCTCTATATTCTGTGAATGAGTTCATTTAACCCCCCTGGCGGTATTCCCCGAGTGTAGCTTGGGGTAAAGTTTCAGTACCACAAGCGGTAACCCCGAGCTACACTCGGGCTTACCATGCGGCGCTGCTTCGGGATATGTTTTTCTCTTACCTTGTCCTGCGCTCCCCGCGATGTCCCTCCTGCAGTGTCCCCGCAAATGTCCTCTGGCGGATGCAGTCATCTGTCTTCTGGGTTCCGTCCCCTGCGACGTCGGGACGTACGGGGGACGGAACTGGCGGGAAATTTGAAAATGACAAAAAGTGACATTCACTAAATACACTAAAATCACATAGTAAAAAATTGCTGTATCAAACCACTTCACATACATTTTGTCCCTAGTGCTTTGTCTTGTGCCCTGCCTGCATTTTTACTGTTCTTTCTGCCCGGAAACTGAGAAACGTCCATGGCGTCCAAAAAGTGTCCCTTTAGCTCATAATCGATTTTAGACCAGCTAGAGAACAGCGATAGTAAATCAGAACCACTTGCAGAATTGAGTGATAATGATTCGTGGGGAAATTCGTCATCAGACACTGAAAACTATTTTGCGACTTTGCTCAGTGATGTGCGAACTTGGCGCTATATTTCAAATTTCAGTGTTTTTGGTTTGATTACATTATTGAATTAAATTTATTATTTTTTATGATTATTTATTAAATTATAATTTATGATTTCGTGTTTCAAATTTTTATCATACCCGGGATGTTTACTAGACTCCTGTTTGGACAGATATCAGTGAGTTATTCCTAAAAATTACAGGCCTACAATAAAAAAAAAAAATACATATTTCCATGCAAAAAAATGTACCGCTTTGAGCACAGAAATATTGACATAATCAGACCGCTAGGGAGGTTAATACAAAGCATTTTGTGATTGGGTGGGCAGGAGGGAGGGAGGGTCAGACAAAGCAGTTGTATGATACTATGCAGCCACAGGTGCTGAGACCAGAAGACCTAGTGTGGGAGTGTCAGAAATATAGTTATATCTATGCTCCGGTCACTCAGAGAAAAAATGTAATTAGTCGATGAAGTGGCAGCACCTCGTTGGACTTAACATCTAATAATCAAGCACAATATACAAAGCTTACAAATTCCTGGAGTTAAACTTTAAGGCCAAACATGGCAAAAACCCTTCTGAAAAATGGGAAAAATTAACTATGTTAAGATGGTCAACTCTCATCAATAACGTCATGATATTTTACTTTAAAACTAGGCATCATTACATATATTGACTCTGCATGCTGGAATCCAGAGAGAAAATGATTATTGCAAGAGATTAGTTAGAATATAAACTAATACTTTTCAAACATGCAGGGCCTTTATTAAACAGTTGTCAAACACAAAGTATACAACTACGGTAATTTGCTTTGCTGTTTTTTCAAAACAGGCCTGAAAGAAAATTAAAAAAAAAAAAAAAAAAAAAGCCAGTGTTTGGTTCCTTTTTTTTTTTTTTGCTTGTTTGTTTTCCAAGCAATACAACTGAGGGGTGGGCAACACAGTAGACAATACAAAACAAGCCCAAGCAAAATCAAGTTTGAAGCACTTTACAGCTAAGCTGGCAACAGCAGAGGCCCGAATATCCACTTGACAAAACTTCACAAACATGTGAACAGAGGACCAGGCGACGACCTTGCATATCTGAAAAAGACACCTACTGCAGATAAGTCCAAGAGGCCCTGACTGAATAAGCCTTACAGAGCAAGGAGAAATCCTATCCTTCAAGGCATAAGCATTAGTGATTAACTTGTTTAGTCCTGCAGGTAGGACAAACAGGGAACCAAAATAAGGATGGAGGCAGTGCCAGAAAGGAAAACCCACACATCTAAATATAAAGATACCTCCTTTTGGAGAAGGAAAGATGACGCCCTAATTAAGGAAACAGGTGATTAAGGAATCAGGAGATAAAACACTTTAGGGTACTTTCACACAGGCGTTTACGGATGAAAATCCATGTATTTCTATGGACTAGCGGATGTAAACCGATGATCATCTGTTTACATCCACTAGCCGCTTAAGGACCGCCCTATAGAAGATATACAGCTACAGGGCAGCACCTGTGTGCAGAATCCTGTATATATACGTAATTCTGCATTTCCGGGTAGGGGCACGCGGTGATTACCGGCGATCAACGACGGGGAGGAATATTGTTTTGTTTACAATCTTCCTCCACGTCAGCTCGAGCACACTGCTCGGGATGGCTGTGCACAGTACAGCCATCCCGATCAGTGTCCTTACAGTGAAGAACACCACCCCCCTACTAAAACACTCCCAACACACAGTTAACCCTTTGATCGCCCCTCAACATTAACCCTTTCCTACCCAGTGCCATTAGTGCAGTGTCAGTGCTTTTTTTTTTGTTTAGAACTGATCACTGTATTGGTGTCACTGAGGTGTCAGTGACACCAAGTTAGTCCCCCCCCCCCCTCCAGTGTCAGAATGTCTGCCACAGTCCAGCTTAAAGCTGCTGATTGCCATTATGAATAGAAAAAAAAAAAAATCCCATGATCTATACCACCATTTGTAAATGCTATAACTTTCATACAAAACCAATTAATTTACACGTATTGGGTTTTTTTTTTAGCAAAGACATGTAGCAGAATACATTTTGGCCTAAATTTATGACGAAACGTAATTTTTTTATTTTTTTTACTGGACAGGTTTAATAGCAAAAAGTCAAAAATATTGTTTTTTTTCTCAAAATTGTCAGTCTTTTTTTGCTTATAGCGCAAAAAATAAAACTGCACAGGCAATCAAATACCACCAAAAGAAAGCTGGGGGAAAAAAAAAAAAAAAAAAAGGACGTAAATTTAATTTGGGTGCAGCATTGCATGACTGTGCAATCATTAAAGTAACACAGCCACAACGCAAAAAAATGGCCTGGTCATGAAGGGGGGGTAAATCCTCAGTAGGGCAAGTGGTTAATGTTTGAATCTCTTCACATCCATTTTTTTGAACAGAAGAAAACCCTATTTTTCTTCCATAAAAAAAACAGTCAGTTTCTGCATTTATGGACTGAGGCCTGGTGCCTCAAAACCACCTTGCCTTTATGAAGAAGGTTCCTTACAAAATAGGCTGCCAATTTTGAACCCCATCTAGCTGAAGTGATAGCCAAAAAAAAAAAACAAAAAAAAACCCCTTATGAAAAAGATCTACCAAAGGAAAAACCTGACTGGGCTCAAATGGGGGATTCTGTAGAGCAGAACGAACCAAAATTGAGGTGAACAAACAGGGGTAGCAATGTGAACCACCCCTTGAACAAATGCCTTCACCAGGAATGAATAGCCAGCAGTCTCTGAAAGCGAATAGCCAATACAAGAGACTCTAATATGGGCATTGGCCAATACTGAGACTTAAAGTGTTACTAAATACAGGACCCTGCATTCACTAGATCTGGTCTCCCACAGTAAACAGAACATGGAAATGCAATTAGTTTAGTAAATATATACTGCTAAATACCTTTTATCATCAGAGCAGTCTTATGACTTCTATCAGTGTTCAGCAGAGCACTGGTTAAAGCTTTTAGGAGTTTTCTCTAGGAGGATGCAGAACCCCTGACCTCTGTCTGGGCAGTGCTGAATGGCCCTGTGCTGATCACATGCACTCTCCCAAGGAAAAAAAAAAAAAAACATTAGAAAAAAAAACCCTCTCTAGCAATACACACCCAATTGAGCATGTGCAGTGTATCCACATATGTCTTATCAGTAGAGATATTAGGAGAAGGGAAGGATCAGAGAAGTCAGGATCAAACAGCATTTTTACATAATGGAGGGGATTAACCCCTTAGGTTCCATGGTAAGTATAACAAGCATGTTTTACTGCATATACAGACTGATTTTACTGTTGTGGGTTTAGTAACAC